ATATGGTCAGCCACATGCACTTGGACAGCCTACACCAGTTCTTCTGTCTCTCACACTCTTAAGTGTTGAGGCCCAGCTCCTCGCTTATGTGGGGCTTCCGGTGTCCTGTGTGACATCCGGCAATCGTCTAAGGTAGACGCTCATATACCTATTCCTGTCTATCTTCTGACCTCCAGGGAACAGGCGGTCTAGAGACAAGGAAGGTAGAGCCAGTGGCTACCCTCTAGGACCCAGAGTGGACAGGGGAAAGAGTTAGAGACTCTTTGGGACCTTTCAACACCAAGGTCCCTATCAGGGTCAGGGAAGGGCAGTGGCCAGGGGTACCACAGGCAAGATGCCCTCTCTTTTATGCCCTTCTGCCCGGGCCCTTGCCCCAGCCTGTGCTAATCAGTCTTGTGGAAGCTGCAGTGGGGGAAGATGGAAGTTGCCTCCCATGCTATGCACACAGCTACTTTTTTTGGCAGCCAGTCTGGAACATGCTCTATCACGGAGCTGGGCCCCACATCCCAGTACCCCCTTGATTGGTGGACACTGTCCACATAGGAAAGGCTTTGATCGCATGCCCCAAAGCTGATGGTTTCCACTCTCCTTCCATGTCCCATTCTGTCAGTCCCACTCCTGTCCCAGGCTGATGCTAGCGCCAGCAAGACTAGGGTTTGCATTGGCTCTCTCCCAAACCCTGGAATGTGCCTGTTGGCTGCACAGCAACTGTTCCTGGAACGGGGGTGGACAATGCACAGACTGTCTCTGAGACGGGGGTGGATGGGGTGCAGACAACCCTTGCATGAATAGGGCACAGAGGTCCAGACAGGATGGATGGGCTCCCCACGGCCAAGACACCCCTAAACTTGGACGGGCGCTGAGCATCCACAGACACAGTGGAGCTTAGAACTGGCTCCACGAGCACTGACTCCGGACATGGACCCACATGAGGCCTGGGATGAAGCAGCTGAGGAAAGACACTTCTAAAAGACCCTGATGAATGGGAAGCAGTGTACCCAATACTCAAAATCACAGGTATACCTGATTTGGGGTACAAGATATAAGACCCCAATTTCATCTGAGCATCTGGATAGTTACAATGAACATATCCTTCAAGTAGTTAGATCTGGCAGGCAGAGGGCACAAGGCGATTCACAATTATGAGGGTACAGAACACCCAAGTCTTGGGTCAGTGGGACTCACATCCCTCAGTTGCTCCTGGGATTGTGGGAACTTCAAATTTCTCAAGAAGGGGTACAAACCCCTGAATGCCTAGAAGGTGAGGCTGCCAGCCTGGTGCCAGGTGTGAACAGAGCACAGAGACCCACAAAGGATAATTGGATTCACACGGTCGTGATGACTCTGTGATGAATGCACAATGGGCTTCCAAGGACTCAATGGTGCTTGAAACTGGCTGCGTGGCCCTACGTGAGAGGCAGGCAGTGAGAGTAGCTGCCAAAACCTTGATGAATGAGTACATGCTGTCCAGATCCTTTAGGGTTGGAGGGAACTGGGGGCTTGGAGCTTTTGCACGTTCAGCCAGTACTTTGAGGATGTGTATACTGGCACTCTAGTAATGGAGGAGGCCAGCCAGAGACCTCAGAATTGGTTTCAGTGGATATCTTGAAATTCTTGTTACCCAAGACTTCACAGAGACATGAGAATGGGTCAAAGATGCACAGAACAGCAAAGACCAAAACTTGTGTCTGAGCCACAGGGTCCAAGGGAAGGGGTTCAGGCTGCAGTTAGACCAGAGCAATAAAGACAAACAGTCATTCATTCAGAAGGAGGCCAGGTATCCAGATACCAGGGGAAGAGGGAAGAGTGTGCCCAGCCGCAGGATCTCTCAGTCACACAGACACAAGGGAATGAGAGTCCCCGGGTGGGACTCTCAGATAGTCTGAGTGCTCAGACACTCAGGGATACCAGTGTACAGACCCATGGTATTCAGGTGAGGAGAGCTTAAGTAAAACAAATACCAAGGAAGGGTAACAGGGAAGCTTTTAGATTCTCCAAAGAATGGGGTCTGAGCCACAGAGCTCCAACAGTATTCTGACGGGGGAACAGGACAAAGACAAGGAAACAGTGAGTGGAGAACTCAACTCAGCAGCAAAGTGGGATATGGGGGCCAGACACTCAGACTGATGGGGTACAGAGACTCTGACACTTAGCAAAATGGAGTTCAGGATCCAGACTCGATGTCTCAGGCACAGGAGCTGCCATCACTCCTGGGGGTGGGGGCCAGCTCATCTGGGCACAGGTACAGACGCAGACACCTGGGCAGCTTGGGGTGGGCAAACAGCCCAGTGCCTGAATGAATGGTGCATAGAGAGCCCAGACAAGGGTGAATGGGGCCCACACAGCAGTGTGATGGACGAGACAGTGTATCCAAAACCACAGGAACGAGGCGCTGGCCCCTGGATTCTGGGCCTAGCACACAGGGCTATGTGCCACATGTCAATGGGGGATTCAGTGGACCCAGCAAGTTGGGTACAGGCTGTCTAGGGTCCAGGTGAACACAGAACAGAGAGTCCCTGTTCCACGCCTAACAAGGAGTGGGTCACCTAGGCTACACAGGTGATCATGGTGTGTACCACAGGTATTTGCAATTGCTGGGTAAAGATGCTGAATCCAGTGGTCCCCCAGATGAACAGGGACATCCAAACAAAGTAAATGGTACTCACACAAGATAAAGAAAATGAGGCTGGAATGCCAGGACTCTGAGGCCTTTGGAAGATGCTATGAATGAGGGGAGCACAGAGGCCCTTCAGCCACTTATCAAGTGGGGTTCATGTGGCAGACAATGGGTACGTGCCCCTGGCCTTCTTAGAGAGAGGAGAATTCACTCAGAAACTCCAAGCAATGATGTTCACATTCCTAGAAAGCAGATGATACCATCTTTCAAAAGATGGGACCCAAGAAATCCAGTGTTGCACAGAACAGCAAAGACCAAAACACAGTGTTACGTTCAGGGGAGGGTAAAGGCACCCAATGGTCCACTAAAGGGTACATCTTCACCTGAGACTGAGATGGGGAATAAACTCTCTAGATTCTTGGATAATAAGGTATAGCCTTCCCAGAAACTCTGTTGTTGGGGCTCAGCCTCCCTAGCTGCCCAGGTGGTGGGATACAGCCTCTCTAGATATCAGGTGATGGGGGATGTGTTTCTCAGATGCTTGAATCTTGGAGTACAACCTCTCTGGAGGCCCAGATATTTGGATATAGCCTCTCTGGGTGGTCAGCTGATGAGGCATTTCTTCTTTAAAATCCCCTATGATGGGTTATGAACCTCCCTGGGTATCAGATGATGGGGTTCAGGCTCCCTAGGTAGTGGGAGGATGGGGTCTAGGTTTCCTCAGTTGCTTGAATGTTGGGAATTGGCCCCCAAGTGAAGAGCACATCAACAGCAAAGTGAAAGGTGATTGGGACACACACAGCCTGAGACACAGAGCAGACACAGGACATCTGAGCCACAGAGATTCACGGCAAACTGAGCTCCTGCCCTTGTTGTCCCTGACACAGATGAAGGGGTGCTCTGGCTGCACAGGATGCACAGCGGGTCAGCACAGGCAGAGAGTACATGTCTGACCCAGCACGTCTCACAAATTGGGGCCAGGAGCTCGTGGCTCCCCAGCCAATGTCTGCTGTGTGTTCCAACCTCAAACATTCCCCACGCGCCCTCAAAGGAAGAATCCTCATCCAAGATCCTTGCCAGGGTCTCCACAGGGCTGCTGCCTGCCAAGCCGCTGTCTTGGGGGCCACAGAGCTGGCCATGGGGCTGGCTGCAGGCTGCCAACTCTGTTTGGTTTTCTCCTTCCTTCCCTGGGAACCTCAGACGCCACCTCACCATGGAGGCGCCCTTATGGTGGGGAAGCAAAAAGTTCCTACGCAGACAGGCTGGGGTTGCTGCTCACGTAGCTCAGCATGCTTGGGGGTCTGCATGTCCCCCAAAGAAAAGACGGCCGTGGCTGTGCTGGGGGAGGGGGGCTCCTGGTCCCTCTGGTTTTAGTTACTTCAAAATCCCTCTCACCCTGGCCGGATCAGACAAAGGGACAAAGCCATCCCCATGTGGTAATGGGGAGAGGGCATGCTCCATGTGCCTGGATCCATTCGTGAGCCATCCACGACATATGAGCTTACATATCCAACCTGCCTGGCTCCCCAACTCCTTTGAGCTGGGGCGTCTGGATCCCACAGGCTAAGTCCCAGCATAACAGATTCTGTAGTTAAGTCTTAACAAACCCCAGGTCTGAATGCCAGCAGCAGATAAGAGGCTTGCAGTGACACCCTAGCCTAGGTCCTAGAGTGAGAAGACCATTAGCTGGCTGGCACATAGTGGCAAAGCTCAGCTCCTAGCCAATGAGTTCTTGTCAGGCCCCATTTGAAGTGCAAGGCATTGGAGTTAGACTGCAGAAAGGACTTTTGCTTACTAACTCACAGGCCACCCAATAAGGAGGGGTTGCTCCCCAGAAAACCAAAGGCTGAAGGAATTGATAGGCCCATCCCAAGGCGATGGGGCAGCAGAATGGCCTCTAGAGCAGCAGCAGGGCCAGCCAGGCCTGGATGGCTCCAGTGAGCTGTACACAGCGCTCCCCAGGGTTACCTTGGTCAGAGTGCCTGCAGCTCTCCGACCTAGCTCCTACCTTTTACCCTGGTACTAGTGAAGCCAGTAGTGCCAGGAGGCCACCTTCCAGCCAGGCAGCGGTGACTCAGAGCCTGTGTGGTGTGCTGGGCCAGTGTAAGCCAAGTCTAACCCTTACAAATGTCATCCAAATAGGCCCATCACCCACTGTCACACAGCTTGGTGGGGCTCAAGACACCCACCCCGGACGGACCCCTGCAGAAAGGCCAGAGCCCAGTTACTGCACCCCTGAGATTTCAGGGGGACTTTCCTACCCAAGGGAGTTTCCCGATTCCTGAGGGCCAGCAGTTCCGGTCAGTCGTAAGGTGGGGCTCCCTGAAGCCCTGCCTCCCACGTTCCCCCTCCCACCAAGATGCTCTTATCACTAGATACAGAACAAACACCAAGCTCCAGCTGCAGGTTCCGAGTGGGAGCAGCTTCCTGGTGGCCAGGGTCTGTGAGGAGGGCCTGAGGCAGGCTGGCCATAGATGCTGTGGGTATCAGGTGAGATGTTACACTGTTGGGGGGCCACCACCCATACCTGGGGGTCTGCTCCTCAAGAAAAAGGGCCCACAGAAAATCACTTCCACTGAACCCTAAGCTCCAGCTAGGCAGGCAGTGGAGGGAACTAGTTAACAGGACTAAACTAACTAGGAAGTAGTAAGTGCCTGGCTTGGGCAGACAGGGAAGTGTAGGGTTACCTGGGTTCCTTACTGGGAGGAACCAGAGTGCAATACAGCACAAACCTGGGCTGCTAGAGAGGGACCACAGGGAGCTTCCTGGATGAAGTGGGGTTCCCATGGGCCTGGAGGGTGAGTGGGACCTGGTGGAGGGAATAGGGAGTTGGGGGTGCCTAGTAGCTGCAGGAATGAGCCAGCTGCCTTGCCAAAGAAGCTCAGAGATGGGTTCATAGAATCATGGGGAGTGGGTGGGGAGTGACTTGGGTGGCACACTTTTCTCCCTTTCCTGGGCAAAGCAGTGCTCCTTCGAGAGAGGGTTTTCTTGAGTAGGCTAGGAAATTTTGACTACCAAAGACAGACAGCAAGAGAGCACAGCGCTGCCAGAGCACAGCTCAGAGTGTCCTGGGGGTGAGGAGGAAACCAGAGAGCCTCTCAACCCCCCCCCCCCATATCTGTACTCTCTCCTGAGAAGCCCCAGTTTGGAGGTAAAGTCTGCTGGTGGGTGGGGACCAGTGAGGAAGACAGTGCCACCTAGTGGTTGCTTGCCTGCCAAACCTGATCACCTGGTGACCTAGTGGTCCCAAGGGACCCTGAGCTCAGATTTTAGGATCCCTTGGACGAGCAGTGGTGTCCCCAGGACTCCAGGATACTCCAAGGCTAGCTTCTAGGAAGTGCCCAAAATCTTTGTGGGCAAATTTTCCAGGCCACCTGGGAATCCTGACAACTCATTGCACGATATCAGGATTCTAAGGCCACCTCTCCTGCTCTTGGATGCCTGAGGTAGGATGGGGGCAAGTGGGGTGCAGGGAGGCCACATGAGTATAGATGCATGCACAGAAAGAGACCATATTGACAACATATTCCAGTTTTAAACCGCAGAATCTTGAACGAGGCTACTTCACTCCAGAATGTACTTAGGGTCTCATATTTCGCAGAGGCAGCCAACTCTTCCCCCATGCTGGGCCTGGGTGGGTGGAGCAGTCCTGCCCCAGGGATCCTGCAGGACCCTTGGATCCATTTCACTGGCCACTATGAGGGTCATTCTGTCAGCCACTTTGGGGCTGTGAAGCTCCCCTGAATAGTTGGGGGTGGGGAAACTGGGAAGGATGGGGCGCCCCTGGACAGAGGGGCTCACAGCACACCTCTCTCCATGTCAATCTGCAGGGACTTCTCAAAAGGGCCCCCTGAAAAATTACAAACAAGCTGTATGATATGTGAGACCCAGCACAGAATGACAAAGAGCCTCCTTTTGTCAGGAAATGAGGAAATTTCAAAAGGCAACAGCAGGCATTAAGCCCAGCACTGGCCCCTCAGTAACACTCCCAGGCCTGGCCCCTCTGCTGGCCTCAGAGTCAGATAACTAGGCTCCAGTGTCAGTTTACTGGAACCTTCACAGGACCCTGGAGGGGAGGCAGGACAGTGGGCCCTTCCCAAGCCACTGCCCCCATCTCTGATCATCCATCAGGCACTGGGTGAAGATCACTTCTCTCCTGCACCAGGCGGGGTGGGGGTGGGGTGGGGGAAGCAGGAGTGAGGGGATCTGGCCTGTCTACTGGTTGCTGAGGGGGTGGGTGTCGCTGCAGGGGGTTGCAGGTCTTGTGGCAGAGTTGGAAGGTTAAGAATCCAGACCCTCAGCCACTCCAGGAAAAGGGGAAGGGAAGGACTGCAGCTGAGAGCCTTCCTATGCCCTGGGGTAACAGTGCACCCCAGGCCCCAGCTGGGAACCTGCCCTCCCTGCTCATGAATGGGAAGTGCCAGCCTGATTAGGTACACTGCCTCCCCAGGCTTCAGGCAGGTAGGGTGCAAGGGCCAGGGCAGCTGTACTCGCCTACCCACCCTACTTCCCACCCACATATGCAGGGTGGCTGGTAGGGCAGGCAGACAGGCGAGTCTGGGCAGGTACATGAGTCACGGAGGAGGAATGCTGTGGCCTCTCCCAGCTGTACCCTGCTCCTGCCTGCCCCTACCGTGCCCTGGTCCCCAGGTGTACCTGGCCCTCTGCCCACCCATGCCAGCAGCACATCTTCAGCCCAGGCTTGCTCAAAGGAGCAAGTCAGCTTGTCCCCAGACCCCTGAGTCCCTCCCAAGTCCCAGGGATCACAGTGAATAGGTCCGCCCTGATCATGCTCACAAACTGTAGTTAGCTTTGGGCGAATGGGCAAGTGAGGAGCCATTGAAAAGGACTTCCTCCACCTCCCATGGATGAAGAGGGCCTGAGGAAGTGCCAGAGCCCAGGAGAGAGAGTCAAGGAAGGAGAGGCTTCCTGGAAGAAGGAATTCCTGTGAGGAGAGAGGGACAGTGAGGGCAGAGACCAGGCAGCCCAAGCCTGACCCATGTGGCTGGGGCTGCAGCTGTGAATGGCGGCTGGAGGAGACGGCCGGGAGGCTGGACCCATGCTAAATTGGAGCTTTAACCAAGCCGGCAGCTCCCTTCTTGGTTTCCTGGGCTTAGAACTCTCAGCCTGCCACACTGGGCTGCTTCCTAGGCTGAACAGCCCTGTGCTGGCTGCTGCCAAGAAGGCGAAACTGGGCAGGGCCTGGGGAGCCACCTACCTTCATGACCTGGCCTCCCCCCACTCCCCATGACCAGACTTCTCTTCCAGCGGAAAGATGGGTCGCCCACCAGATCCCCACAGCACCCCAACCCCAGCTGGCACCACAGTCACGCCTGGGCTCATTCCAGACCTCATCTTCAGGATCCCCTGTGAGTGCCAGAACCCCGAGTGTTGGAAGGTTATGGGGCTGGCCTGGCTGGGCAGGGGCAGAGGCTGTCCACAAAGGCATCAGAGAATCCTGTGTTTCCGCCCCAGAGACCCACTGGGCACTCATTGCTGCTGCTCTTGCTGCTGGCATCCTCGCTGTCTCCTGTCTGTTCTGTGCCATCTGCTGCCGCCGCCAATGTTGTCATCATAAGAAGAAGCCCCAGGACAAGGAGGTTATGAATCTGGGCAGTGCCCACAGCAGCACCACCACCCACCTGGTGAGGAGCAGCATCATATTGGCTCGGTCCCTAGAGGACAGTGCAAATTCTAGTCTCTGGGGCTCAGAATAGCCCAGGCAATCAGGGGCAAGTTCCTCCATGTCCCCAGAAACAGTCTGATCTACCCAGAAGCAGGGGCAGGAGGACCTTCCTGGTAAGGGAAGAGGATGAACCAAAGTGAGGAGGTGACACTGCAAAAGAGGATATATGGCTGGGCATACCCATAATCTCAGATTCTCTGAGGCAGGATTGCCATGAGTTCAAGGTCAGGCTAGGCAACACAGCGAGTTCAAGTCCTGCCTGAACTATACAGTGAGACTCTGTCTCAAAAAAGGAAAAAAAAAAAAAAAAGAAGGAAAGTTGTTGGTTAATGGGCCACTGGGAGAAATAAATGGTCTTTAAGGCAGACAATGGTATGAGAGATGACATGCATGGGGGAATTTGGCCAGTCTCACAGAGGTGAGCTAAAGAAGTGAGCCCTAGTACTAATAGCCTTTTCTGAAGATGAGCGGCTTGACCCACATCTGGGAACTGTTGTCTGGGATACCAGAGCTCTGATAAGAGCACATGATCTCCTTTGTCCCTGCTCACCCGAGGTGCAGCCAGATGTGGAGAACCTGGAGTCCAACTTGGGGGACCCTCAGCAGTGGGGGCGCATGCAGCTCTCCCTGGAGTACGACTTTGGAAACCAGGAGATGGGGAGTCCCAGAGCAGGCCTGGAGTCCTTAAACTAACAGACGGTGATGGGGGTGTGAGGGTGTTGGAGTTGACCAGGAAAGTTCCCTTCCCTGAGCCCACTGCTGGCTCCCAGATTAGGGTGGGCCTGAAGCAGGTGGCTGACCTGAGGGCGGAGGGCATGGCAGACCCCTATGCCCGTATCAGTGTGTCCACGCAAGCCGGGCGCAGGCACGAGACGAAGGTGCATCATGGTACACTCTGCCCTGTGTTCGAGGAGACCTGCTCCTTCCATGTGAGTCCAGGCAGGGGGTAGAGTGAGGGGTGGATGAGGTACCAAGGTGATGGCTAATTCATCACTATTCCTGCAGGTCCCACTGGCAGAGCTGCCCAGTGCCACCCTGCACGTGCAAGTGCTGGACTTCAAGCGCTTCTCTGAGCACAAGCCTCTGGGGGAGCTGTACCTGCCACTGGGCACTCTGGATCCTCAGCATGTCATGGAGTGCTGGTACCAGCTGGGTCCACCGGGCACCAGTGAGGTGAGGCCACTAGGCTGTAGTCCAAGAGCAGAGCTAGTAGGACCCCTTCTCTGGTGCCTCAGGGGAGACACCCCAGACCAGGGAGGAGTCTCCCCCAACGAATCCTCTTGTTCCCACAGGCAGAGCAGATAGGGGAGCTGTGCCTCTCACTGCGGTATGTGCCCAGCTCTGGCTTCCTGACTGTGACTGTGCTAGAAGCCCAAGGCCTGAGCCCAGAGCTGGCAGGTGAGAGCCACATTTGCCTATTCAGGTGGACAGCAGGCTGGGGTTCTGTCAGGCCTCAGATGCCAGGTCCTCCTCCCACTCTTGTCTGCCTAGAGTCCTATGTGAAGGTACAGCTTGTGCTGAACCAGAAGAAGTGGAAGAAGAAGAAGACATCTAGCAAGAAGGGAACCACTGTCCCCTACTTCAACGAGGCCTTCACCTTCCTGGTGCCCTTCAGCTAGATCCAGGTGGGCTGTTGGAAGGAAAGGCAAGGTGGGGCAGGACCACGTGCTGGGCCAAACTGACCTCACCTTCCTCTCGCCCACCCTGGCCTGTTCCTGTGCAGAATGTGGACCTGGTACTGACCATCTGGGCCCGTGGCCTGCAGTTCCGGGCTGAGCCTGTGGGCAAGGTGCTGCTTGGCCCCCGGGCCTCCGGCCAGCCCCTGCAGCACTGGGCAGACATGCTGGCCCGTCCCCGGAGGCCTATTGCCCAGTGGCACCACCTACAGCCTGCCAAGGAGGTAGATCGCCTCCTGGCCCTGCAGCCCCGCCTACGCCTGCCAGTGCCTCGCCCCTAAAAGCATCTTGGTCTTGTATTTCCCCAGGGCAAGCCATGAGTGCTCGCCTAAGCCACTTGTGGGACTCTGCAATAAAAGGCTTCCCCTGCCATGCGTGTCCTACTGATCCTGTGGGGACACATATGCAGGACAGGGATTTACCCTCAATCGCAAGGCCCCACAAAGGCTGGGGGAGGGTCTTTTCTTTCCAAATTTACCAGCCCTCAGCTGCTGACTGGGGCAATACCTTGATATGATCCTTCAGTGAGGCGGGGGTCCTCCAGAAGCCCCCTTCTGGGCCCAAGTAGGAAGAGGCAGGAGGTAGAGCCCCTCTACATGTGACATGTAAAGGACAGCATGGAATGAAGAGTTGGAGCCAGCTCTCTGGGGACACAGTGTGCTACTGGGGGCAATGTAGGTAAGGACAGTATATGAAGGAGACCCAGCACTTTTAGGGAGCAGCAGTACAAGGCCTCCTGCATGTGAGCAGCAGGGGGCAGTAGACACCTTCAGAAGCTGCTCGGAGCCTTTGGGGGGCAGCCTTGGCTGGGGATGTACCTCCTAATCCCCCGCACATCTGGATGGCTTTAGCGGCTCCAGTCTTCCTGCATCTCATGTCTCTTCTGATCCCCACGGGCTGCAGGGCTGGGGCCAAGCGCCTCACCGCTCAGAGGGGGTGCCAAGTCACGAGCCGAGCCGGTATCTCTGCAGGGTAGGGCCTGCAGGAATTGGTGGGGGGCGAGGGCCCTGGCCTGTGTGAAAAGGGTAATGTGGGGCCTGCCTGGGCAGCTAGGGGCTCCAAACTCTCACAGGTCACAGAGAGGTTCCTAGGGTGGTAGCGTCGCCATCCTGAGGTTGATGGACATGTTCCGAGTTGCCTGTACGAAGGCGCCGGAGGGCCGGGTGTTGTGGCAGGCTGGGAGGGGCTCAGCTGCTCATCTGGGGGCCTCGTCCTGCTCTGGCTCAGGGTGAGAAGGTAAGGTCATGTAGAGGGAAGAGCAGCCCCTGGGGTCTCAGTCACCATACAGGGCTCAGGAAGACAGGTTTGGGGGTCTGTGCCCTCCCTGGAGTTGGCCTGGAGGGGGTGGGTGGTCAGTGGCATGTGACTACTTTGCCTAAGGGCCAGCCTTGAGTGATGTGTGAGTGATCAACCATAGGACCAGAGCAGAGAGCAGGCATCCAGCACAAAGCAAAGGGTTCGGGGAGCAGAGCTCTGGTGTGAGCCCAGGAGGATAGACCTGACACTGAAAAGGGGGCAGTGCAGAGCCAGATCCCATGGAAGCCACACTTCCCCTGGCCCTGAGTTGGGTGGTCACCAAAGCCCACACTTGAACCACACATGCTGTTCTCAGGCTCCTTGCAAGGAGAGGGAGACATCTCGACCTTGTCACTGAGCCCTAAATAGAGCAGTCCAACCGCGATGCCCTTCCTCCTCCCCAACCCCCAAGACTTCTTGGACAGGATGGCAGCAGGCAACCAGCAGCAATCGCCTGGGCTGGGCCAGGCCAGGCAGCCTGGGCAGGTGGGGAGGTCTCTCTGGCTCTCTGTGCCCCCATTGGTCTGAAGAGGACTCCATGCCCTTTCTGAGCAGGGGCCCAGCCTAGGGGAGGCCATTTATACCCCTCCCCCTGGGCCCACCAGCCTAACTCGAGCTGCCTGCCTGACCTCGCTCCCAGCCCTGCTGCCCAGACTTTAGGTGAGGCCCGGCCTGGCCCATTGAGGCCAGAGGACAGGGCACTCTCAAGATAGTTTGCTGGAGGACTTGCTGGGGCAGGGGCTTGGGGGTAAAGGGGCCGCTACCAGCAGCCCTGTCTGGGGGCTTCCACAGAACTGGGAGTGAGAAGTGGAAGCTTGGGGAGGTGGCTAGGATGGGGCAGGGGTCTTGGACAGAAGTCTGATAAGCAGACCTTAATTTCAGGATACAGACTGCAAGAATGCGGTTGGGCTAGCCAGGTCACAAGCCCCCAGGCCACATTGGGGAGCATTTTCTTGCATGTACTTAAGACTGAGGCCAAAGGAACAGAGTTAAAAATACCAACATTGCTCTGGCAGCCACCTGTGCTGGCCTGGCCCACCCCTCCCTCAGGGACAGCTGCGGCTCCTCACCCCGCCTTGGACATTTTGGGAACACTTTCTCCTCTTACTTCTTACCCTGGGGAATTCTTCCAAGACACTGCCCTCTAAAAAGACTGGAGTCAGGCAGGGCACAGCACAGGGGGCCTCTCTGCCTGTTGAGTGCTGGCCTCCTGTGGGTGAACACTGACACCTCTCTTTCTTCCACAGGCTAAGCTCCAGACTTCAAGATGGGGGAGTAAGTGGCACCCCACATTGGGTCCCTACCAGCCACACCCTTCTCTCACTGGGGTGGTGGGGTCCTGGCATCTTCCCAGCAGCACCCCTGCCCATCTTGGCCACTGTCCATCCCTTTGCTCCATCACACCCATGGCTAACCCTGACACCCTAGTCATGACCCTAACCTCTTTCTTCTCTTCCCTCCCTCTCTCATCCTTCCTCCTGGGACAGTGAGGAGGTGAGTACCTGACTGGGGACCTGAAACCTGGGTGGGGAAGACAGGACTCCCAATGTGGATAAGTTAGTGGGCAAAGCTTTAAGGCCTTGAGGCCCAGGGAAGATATCCCTACTCCCAAAGTGCCCCGCCCACAGAGACTGGTGACAGAGGAAGTGGCTGCCCAGTGCCTTATGGGTCAGGGGAAGTGGGGCCGGGGACTGGTCACAGAAGTGTCACTTCTTCCTGATTTCTGTATCCCATGTATCTCCAGCCTTCCCCTCTCCCCTGCACCATCTCCCTCTCCCAGCCCATATATTGCCTGGGCCAAGAGTTAGGCCAAAGTACCATGGCCCTGAGGAAGCTCTGGACAGAGAAAGTGAAGCCTGAGCTTGGACCAACAAGGAGTCCTTGAAGCTCCTGATTCAGCTGTCCCATGCAGAAGCCTCTGGTCAGGGGGCTCTGGAAGGGAGGGGTGGGTCTGGAACCAGCCTGATTTTGTCCTTTCTGTTCCCTGCAGAAACGCAACAGGGCCATCACGGCCCGGAGACAGCATCTGAAGGTGGGTAGTGCTGTGGGAGCGCAGGAGTGAGGGCAGGAGTGTGGGATGAGAGCACCCTCTCATGGCCCCCTTCCCCTGCAGAGTGTGATGCTCCAGATTGCTGCCACTGAGCTGGAGAAGGAGGAAAGCCGCCGTGAGACGGAGAAGCAGAACTACCTGTCAGAGCACTGCCCACCCCTGCACATCCCTGGGTCCATGTCTGAAGTGCAGGTACCAGCTCTCTGCAGTCAATTGCCCTGGCCTTAGTTTCTCCATTCAAGAGATCCAGAGGAGGGGTGGGCCACTGTGGCCTGACAGCTGCCTACCCGTACCCTTCCCACCCCAGGAGCTCTGCAAACAGCTGCATGCCAAGATCGATGCGGCCGAGGAGGAGAAGTACGACATGGAAATAAAGGTGCAGAAGAGCTCCAAGGAGGTGAGAGGGGGTGCTCCAGCCTGGGGGTGGGTTTTGGCCGCATGGGTGAGGTCATGGTGGGGAGGTACCTGGGGTTTGGGGTCTACCAGGCACTCCCATGACCTCCCTCCTGGCAGCTGGAGGACATGAACCAGAAGCTGTTTGATCTGAGGGGCAAATTCAAGAGGCCCCCTCTGCGGCGGGTGCGCATGTCCGCCGATGCCATGCTGAAGGCGCTGCTGGGCTCCAAGCACAAGGTGTGCATGGACCTGCGGGCTAACCTGAAGCAGGTCAAGAAGGAGGACACAGAGAAGGTAGGCTCTGCTTCCATGGGTAGCTCCCCTCTTCCTTGGGGACCTGGTCGGGGAAGCTGGGACAGCTTTGGGGGTTGTGGGCTGTGGGCCTGAGGCCTCTCACTTCACCAGGAACGAGACCTGCGTGACGTGGGTGACTGGAGGAAGAACATCGAGGAGAAGTCTGGCATGGAGGGCCGCAAGAAGATGTTTGAGTCCGAGTCCTAGGCCTCAGCATCCAACTCACCCCAGGGTAGCATCCAACAGCCCAGCCCAGAAGGACCTGGCTTCATCCCAGTGGTCAATAAAGAATTCGAATCCCATGACTGGTCTGATTGGGTTCTGAAGCCTGCGGTGTGGTCAGCACTGCCAGGCAGTCTGGGAGGAGAGGAAGCTACAAAGGGGTTCAGAGAAGAAGGGCGAGCCCAGGAAGACCCCACAGGGAACCTACCCCAGGCTGCACCTTGGTGCTCGTGGGTGTGGCCATCATCAGCTCCCAGGTGCTCCCTGGACTTTTCCAATACTCAAGGACTGGAGAATGATAGCCCTACGGGCCCCAGTCACATCTGAGGGGCAGTCCCTGGAATGAACTCATTTATGCCTTGGTACCCATATGCAGAGACCCCTCCCCATGGTACAGGCCCAGGCTGGCTGCATCACACACATCCCCAGTGCTTAGGCAGCCCTCTTCTCCCAGGCACCAACTCTTTCTCAGGGGTCCATCTGGGACTGAGACCTGGGAGCCACCTTGGTTGCCTTGGCTGCAACCCCCTTCCTCAATCCCCTCTCACAGTGCTCTGGGGCAGGGACCCATGCCCAATCTCCTGTGTTCCATTCCTGTCCTGGCGCTGGGCACCAAGGCCTGAGTTGGGAAGGGTGAGGTTGAGACTGCGTGATTGATCCCAGGCTTCTCCATCACTTCCTGAGGCCGGTAATGTCATGCCCCAATGCACCAGGGGACTCCATCATCTGGGTGCTTTCAGTGCTTGGTTTAGTAGCAGGGGATTCTGTAGCCAGAGCCCTCAGCCTTATCGCCTACCCAAACCCCAAATCTTGGGTCTTATGCCTAGTGACTGGGCTTCCTCCTCTGCTCTTGTGGGCCAGGCAGCAGGGCAACCTGGGGCACTTGGGCACAGCTGCAAGGATCCTGGGTCTGAGTATCATGAAAGACCATGTGTCAGAGGAGGCTCCAAAGAGAACAAGGGTTAGGGGAGACTATACAACGGGGACCTAGGCACATCCCAGCAGAATCAAGCAAACAAACGGACTGTGGCTTCATAGGCAGGCAGCTCACTGTGCAGGGACTGTGCCTGCCAGAGTCAGGGATGGGCTCCACCAAGTGCGGAGGGGCTGAGATCTGTGAGACAGGGGTAAGTGGGGTACAGTGGACTCTGCTCCCAAAGGCCAGGATTCAATGCTGTCTGCTTTAGGTAAACACTCAAGGGGGAAAGTTACCTCTCCCCCTTTTATTAAGCAAGTAAATGCAAAACACAAAAGACCAGATAGCGATCATCTCAGGCACATGGGATGGGGCAGAGCAGGAAGCAAGATGGGGTGGAAGCTCCTAAGCTGGTGTTAGTTGGGAGACGTTGTAATTCCTGGGCTGGATAGTGGATTTATGGGTGCTTGCTGCATTTTCCCAGTGAGTGAATGAAGTAAAAGAGGCTTAGGCAAACCAAACCTAATCAGACAGCAGACATCAGAGCTGGCTCTGTCCTAACCCTGCTCCAACCTCTCTGCCTATGCTGCAATGTGACCCAACTGGCTGTGGGTGGCTGTGGGTGTCCCAGTGGGAGGGATCCATGTTCACACAACAGAGAGGGTGGAAGGGGGTGATTCCTGTGAAGCAAATAGCCCAGCACTGCTTGTGCCAGCTTGGCATTCTAGAAAGATCTCAGCAGGTGGGGACAGTCAGTAAGGGGGTCAGGGCAGAGGGTGGATGGGATGGGATGGGAGTCACCGTTGTGTCCTGAAAGGAGACATGGAAACATTGAGTAGTGTGGTACCCAGGTTTCAGTGGCTGAGGGAGATGGAGACCAAGTATGTGCCATTCTCGAAGGTTCCAGAACACAACGATCTGGCCACAGAGCTCAGGGGTCATGGGAGACCCGTGGGGAGAGGCATCTGATAGCAGGATCTGGGCTGGAGGTGTGTATCAGAGTGTCCTTGGAGGTGAGATGGGCAGACATGCTGGCTGAGTAACTAGAGGGAGGAGGAGGCGGAAGAGGTTAGGAAGATGAGGTGCTCCTGTGTCTGCCAGAGGTCACGGAGGATGGCATGGCTGTGGGTGTCCCAAGTGACTGGTGCCAGGCAGCGGCTAGGAAAGGGGGAAGTAGGAGAAGCATGCATGGCCACACTCTCAAAATCATAGCCACTGAGGACCACAGAGGAAGGAGGGCTCAGTGGACAAGGTCACAGGTACACAGCGGTGGGAGTGCAGGTTTGGCTGTGCAGGGGATGCGTGCTCACCACCCAAGGGGCAAGGGCGCTGCAGGCTCTGCCAAGCCCTTCTGCAATTCCCCTGCTGAAGGAATTAGGCTTCCAGGGGACACGGAGGCCGCAGAGCTGGGGAGGGAATTCACAGAAAAGCCAGATGTGTTGTTCAGCAAGAAATATGAGTTAAAACAAAAAAATAAAATGTCAGGGAGCAGGTCACGAGGCAAAGACTGGTAGATTAGATCAAAGTCAAGTTTCAGTGTTAGCTATGTGGATGTTGATGGCTGTCCTGGGCTACGTAAGAGAATAGCTTCGTGTTCAGGAAATAGATCGTAAATTCTTTGGAATTAAAAGATGGAGACAGGAAAGGAGGGAGAGAGAGGGAGAACAATGGGAGGTGTGCAGAAGCCAATGTTTCTTTTGCTCTTTTTATTCTTGACACTGGTAAGCTTGAGATCGTTTTCCAAAACATTAAAATTTTCTTCAAATGCTTAAACAATACAATTCTTAAGTGACAACAAAAATGGATGGAAGTGAAAAGCTAATAAAAGTCAGCTACCAGGCCTTCAGAGTGCAAGATGTGGGCAGGAAGGTGCCAGGGAACACTTTGATCACTCTTGGTAGCCCTGGAGGATTCAGAGTGGACCAAGAACCATAGCAGAGTGTTGTCACCTCCAGGGACAGCAGAAGTGGAGACCAGACACCGGACAGACACAGTGATCAGGGTCCTTGGGGAGTAGGTGGATTGTTTGGGATGTAGTTACAGGCTTCTCTCTCTCTCTGGGGGACTGAGATCCCCACTGCTGGGGTACCTGCATGGTCCTGGTCTTTTCTCAGTCTGAGTGCCCAACCTGGGCCAGGACTGGCCAGTCTTCATCCTCTCTGTCTAGCCCAAACTCACCCTGGTGACTGGTTCAACTATATGCCCTCTTCAGTCCCCAAGCACCAACACCCCCATTCTGGTCTCTCCATGCAGCTCTAGAGCCTTTGTGTCTCATTCCCTACTCTACTATGTCAGGATACTCAGCCTCAGTTTACTGGGCCATCAAATGGGTATGGAGAAGAGCCAATTTCCTATAAGTTGATAAGCATCAGAGTTGTAATCAGAGATTGGAGAGAAATAGATTTAATATAGGACACATAATTTATAAGATTATTTTATAATATTCATCCAAAAAGTCAAACGAAGAAGCAAGAGACCTGTCCACTCACTAGAGACCCAAAGAATCCTAAGGAAATGTCCAGCACAAGTCCAGCTAAAGACCTAGAGTCCATGGCAATGTTCTCCACAAATCCAGTTGGAGGCCTAGAAGTCCTGGCAATGACTCATGCAAGTGTGTAGCAAGGATCCGCACTAGGAAGGCTCAAAGGTCTGTGGTAGAGGTTAAAAATTCTGTGCCCGTGGGATGAAGGACCTGTGCCAGCAGGCTGAGGGATCTGCACTGAAGCCAAGAAGTGATGTTCAGGGCAAGGACCAGAGCTGCACCGAAGATAACCACAGCTATCCTCAGTGACAGTGAGGACCCGAGTTCCTCCGACGAGGAAAGCAGCTTGGTGCATATCAGGAAAACCAGCAGGCTTCTCCAGGGAGATCAACAGCGCACCATCTTCCCCTCAGTTCTCCTTTTATGCTGCTGGCAACAACTCTCAGCTGGGCCTTCTCACCTAGCACCATGCTGATTCAATTCAGCTGGGTGTTACCAGTTGTCCATTAGTTTAACTCACTACAATCAGGCACCTCTTTCCAGTGCTTCTTGCCCAGCTTGACCTGTCCTGATTACCAGCCTGGCTTCTTTGGTTGCAGCATGGACCAGTGTTGGCCCTCTTCTTATGGAAACCAGGCTGGACACAGGAAGAAATGGCATTGAGGAGGTTTAGGAGATAGTTTATTACACAAATAGGCTTGACTTGGATTTCTTTCCAGTAGTCAGCCCCAACTGGTGGGGTTTTGAGGCATTATAGGGAAAGAAAGAGGGAGGTACAGAGGTAGATTTAGTGCATTATGATGGAAAGTTGGGTGACATCTTGGGATGCTAAGAAAGTATAAACATTTTAGGTTACATTGTAAGGCCATCAGCTATACAAAGCATGAGTTATACAGAGGAAGAAATATCCTGTTACATATTAAGTTACATTGCAAGGTCATCAGTTATACAAAGGCTTAAGATAGGGGCTGGGGATTTAGCTCAGCGGCATAAGCGCCTGCCTTGCAAGCAGGCAGTCATGAGTTCGATCCCTAGTACCGATAAAAAAGAAAAAGACAAAAAAAAAAAAAAAAAAACAAAAAACAAAAAAAAACAAAGGCTTAAGACAGGGGTTACACAAAGGAACATTTCAAGTTACATTTTAAGGCCATCTGTTAGAAAACAGTACACAAAGGAAGCAATACTTTATTATCAAGTTGATCCAGACATGTTTGCTTGGTCTTGGCAGGCTTTCGTGGCAGGTTTTTATTTAAAATTTTAATTTCTCTTTCATTCTAACTACCCAGCAGCTGACAGCCAGCAGGATTGTCCAGTTTGCTTCTGTGGCCCCTCATTCTTCAGAGTCCCAGGTAGTCACCTCCCTGGGGAGCCTTTCCTGAGCCTTCTGTGAGCCTCAAATCCATTTATTTCCACCTTCCCTTCTACTTTTGATTTGCAAAATCACTACTGACTTGCTTTTTGCTTATTTCTGTCTGTCTCATGTCAGTGGGCAAAGTTGGGGACCTGGTATTATATAGTGCTGCCTGTCTGTAATGCTAGGGAGGTATCTTGGTTAGTTTTCTCTCATATTATTACAAAATATCCATCGCCCAGGATTAAGGAAGAAAAGGGTTATTTAGCTCACAATTTGTGGAGGTTTCAGTCCATAATCAGCTGGTTCCAGCAGGGAGGGGCAACAGTTCAAGGCGGCAGAAGACAGCAAACGTGGCAAGAACAAAAAAGGGGAAGAGAAGCCCCTTTTCCTCCCTTCATTAAACTTCTAAACTTCTCAAGTTGACACAGTGTATTGACCACTATAATGCACCCCTTGTCAGTTTGGCAACAGACACAAACGGTTTCTAGACACAGAGACATGCTTATTCTTATCATTTCACAACTTGAATATTATAACAGGTTTAACAATCTTTGAGAACCAATATTAAGTCTATGAATATTATATTACATTAGAAACATAATATTCCACTCCTGGCCTCCCAAATACTCATGTACATCCCATTATGAAAAGGCAGTTAGTCCATCTCCAAGAGTTGCCAAAGTCCTAACAGTTTCTACATTGCTGAAAAGTCCAAGTCCTAAGTCTCTGAGATGTAAGGCAAACTCTTAATTGTAAACCCCTGTCCAAGTGAAAAAAAAGTTACACACCTCCACCAATCAATGGCACAAGATAAATATTTTCATTCCAAAAGTTACAAATGGGAATACAAAGGATTGGGACCAAAGCAATCCAAAATGGAGCAGGGAAAATGTTAAGTCTTGTACTTAACATTATGCAGCATCTGAGGCACATTGTAAGCTCCAAAGAGCTTGGATGACTCCATTGCTACAGCACTTCTGGTGGTTGTAGCTCCCATGGCTTCTCTCTTGGGCCTAGTTTGCTCCTGCTTTGCAGGTTTCCCTAGATGATTCACATTCCTGGATTTTCCAAACTTCTGGGGTCTACACTGTACCTCTGGCAAGCTCACAGCTTCACGCACTGGCTTCTTAGGGGCACATTTCCTGACCTCAGTCCATAATCAGATAGCTCCAAGGCAGGTTGGTTTGACAGAGAGACAACAGTTCAAGGTGACAACAAGGGCAAAAAAGTGGGGAGAACAGGCCTCTTTTCCTGTCTTATATTATAAGCCAGCTACCCCCTCCTCATGGCAGGTACAGCACTCACACCATCTCCCTTCCCTCCTCTAGCACAGGATGAAGGTGTCCACACAGTGAAGACCCTGGCCCCCTGCTGAGTCACTTAGTTAAACCTCTAAACTTCTCAAGTTGACACAATGTATTGACCATGACAGGAGGCACTAGCACATACCCAAATGCCCAGACCTTAATAGCCACCTACTGAGAGATAAAGGTACAAGTCCCTAGGGCAAGGACAGGATGGCTGTCCTCCCTCATCCAACTTTGCAGGGTTGGACATGACTATACCAAGCAGACTCCCCTCCCCTGGCTGCTTCTACCTCCAGCGAGCACCTCAATCCCTCCAGACAGACACTGTCCAGCCATGTGTCCTCTCCGTCTCCTGTCTTCTATCACTGCATCACACCTCCTAATTACTCGAAAGGCTTCCTGGCATGGAGGCAGCCATCTGCTGTCTGGTAAGAAACCCAGCCTTTGGGAAAGAGCATCAACTCCTAACTCCTCTCTGGGCCCCTGAGTCAGTCTAGGAGGCCTTACTCCCTGCACCCACCTGGAGGCATCTCCTGGCCCCATCCTTATTCCTGGCTCTGGAGGGGATTCCTGGGCTCTCCTAGACTGAGGGTCTCCCCACATCCCTCTGTTGTCCCTTTACTTAGCTATAACCCTCTGGAGACCCTTTTAGTCCTCACTTGCCCCCCAGTGTCTCTCACTTTCCTAGTTCTACCTCTCCTCCAGTTCTCACCTATGACTTCTTGGCCTATTCCCTCAGAAGCGACTCCCTCCCTGGATTTCCACTTCTCCTGCTGTCTGTCCTGCTTGTCAGCTCTCTGCCTACCTGGGCCCGGTGCAGACTTCCTTATCCTGTTCCCAACTGTTCCATCTGTGGCCCTGCCCTAACTTGTTCGGGCCAGGACCCATCCCTGATTCCCTTCTTTCCAGCAGTTAGTGGGAGATGGGGGGCTGGAGCGACTCTAGCTCTGGCATGTGGCATCTTTGTAACCCCCCAGAAAGATCTGTCCAACACCCAGTGCCCCTGGGAAAGGATCCCATCCATTCCACTGTCGTGGTCCAATTACTCCCTTACACAAGTGGTCACAGCCCATGTATCCACATCCCAAATCTTCTTCCTGTCCCTACCTGTGTCTTTTTTGCAGTACCGGGGATCGAACTCAGGACCTTGCGCTTGCCAGGCAGGCACTTACACCACTGAGCTAAATCCCTAGCCCTCCCATCTGTGTCTTGCTTTGTACCTATGTACACAGATATCCCCGACTTCTCTCCCTGGATCCCACGTCTCAGGCAAATGTGGCAGGATGCCCTTTCCTCTGGACATACACTTTGCAGATAGATGTGTGTCCCATGGCAGATACCTCCCCAAAGTCTCATGGGATCCTAGTTGGGTTGTTTGGAAGGTGATTGGATGATGGTGGCTTATAGCTGACTTGCTGTTAGCCATGGGGCCTGATTGGAAGAGGTGGGTTACTGTGGGAGTGACCTGGAAGGTTATGTCTCCCTTCCTCCCTGGACCCTCTCTGCTTCCTAGAAACCAATAATAGGAGCACTTTTCCTCCACCAGACCCTTCCAATATGCCATTTCTGCCTGAAGCTATCTGACCATGAAAGGACTGAAACTTCTGAGACATGAAGTAAAATAGTTTTCCTCTGCTAAGTTACACATACAGGATGCTGTGTCTCAGCAACAAAGAAAGTGACCAGGACAGCATATGTCTGGGCTAGGTCCCAGACCCCCACCTTCCTTAGGGTCTCTCCCCGACCCATGTCAGCTGAACACAGACAGCGGGTCGGGACTCAGGTCCTCAGAACAGGAGCTTGGATCCCAGAATAACTGCAGCAAAGCCCTGACCCCCGGGCTGAGGAAGACACTCCGTGAGGTGCTGGCTGCTCATTACTGCAGCTGATCTTGCCTCTCTGATCAACTGATTGCAGTGCAAGTTTCCTGAAGCCGCCAGCGCAGAAAGCCACAGCAGAGTGAGCTCAACAGTAGATAGTCATCCTCTGGAGTCCGGGGGACTGAAAGTCTGATATCCAGGTGACACAAGTCTGGTTCTTCCTTAGTTCTCCCCCTCACAGTCAGTGTCTCCTCCCCGTCTTCACATGGCTGTCCTTCTGCCTGTCTATGACCTGAGCTCCCTGTTCTGCAAGGACCCTATTGGATTGAATCAGGACCCACCCTAGTGACCTTACTGTGACTTAAGCACTTCTTTAAAGGGCCTACCATTAAAGTCACATTCTGTGGCACTGAAGATCAAGGCTTCAATATACTAACTTAGGGGACTCAGCTTAGCTCACAGCAGTCTCCAGGGCATTTGTGCTTCCATCTGGCTCCTTTGAGATCCTCAACAATCCTATCCTGGGCCCTCATAGCCCCTCCCTCTGTCCCCCCCTTCCCCCAAGGGACCCCCCCCTCAGCTTCTAAGGTTTAGCCTGCCCTTCCCAGGGCTCTGCTCCCCTGCTCCTGTGGCCTGTGGCCCCGCTTCCTCCCTTCAGGTAGGGCCGGCCTGCACCCTTGGTCTGCCACACTGACTCCTAATGGCTTGACACTCAGTGACCCCCCCCCCCACATACATGTTCACTTCTTGGCTGGGGACCTACTGGGACCTCAGGTCACCCCAGTACTCTTGCTCTTGCTGCTCTGGCCAGAGTCACTGAGCACCGTAGTTAAACCAGATGTGCTGCTGCTCTCCTGTGTGTGGCTCATCCATGCCCCCAATCTCTTCCCTATGTCTTGGCCTCTCTGCATTGCTTACCTCACCCTCTTCCCCTATCTCATTGTCCATCTGTCTATAAGCATGCGACTCTGACCCCATCCTCCACGAGGAGAGGAAGTTCCTGCTGTGAACCCCACTGCTGTGTGAACAGCTGACCTCCATGTACCCCAGGCTGCACAGGGTTGAGGCATCTGGAGAGGGCCTGTTTCAACCTCTTATTGTTTCGATAACAAAATACCTGAGGCTGGGTCATTTATGAAGAACAGAAATATATTTCCTTTCAGTTCTGGGTGTCAGGAAGCCCAAGTTCAAGGTGCTGGCAGATTCAGTGTAAGGTGTGTGCTTTCCCCTTAAATGGGGGTATTTTGTTTCTGTGTCCCTATGTGGCAGAAAGCAGAGTACACAGGGACACTACTAGTTCCTTGGAGTCCTTTTGTTCTGACCCACTCCATTGAAGAGATTGGAGTCCCTCCTATGGTTGCCTCCCAAAGTTCTCCTTTTATTTGGCAGAGGACCAGCTACAACTTCCCCCTTGTTCCCTCACCCACCAAGTAGAGCTTAACTGTCTCCTTAGAGCCTTCTGGGGCTCTGTTCCTCTCTCTATCCCTCTACCCAGTACTCCTGCTCACCTGTGCCTAGCAGGAGACACAGGGGACAGCAACAGACATGGTCTTTGCCCAGGTCTTGTCCTTGCAAAGGTCCTCCAGAGATGCCCCTGAAGGCTACCCTGTTCCTCCTGGCATCTGTCTGTGTCCTCTGCCGGCCTTAGGATCCTCCTGACTGAACTTCAGCTGAGCCCCACTGCCCACTCTGTTTTGCTCATATCCTTGCTGGACCCTGGGGACAGGACAGTGGATGAGATAAGGTCCCACCTGCCCTGAACCGAATACTTGGAGTGTGAGTGAACGATCTGGACTGGACAAACAGTTGTGTCTGCTTTTTGGGGCAATACTTAGCTTCCAGAGGCTCAGCCTGCTCTGGTAAGCCTGCCTCTAGCAGAGCACCTGTGGCTCTCAGACAGCATGTGCTGGGACACGGACATGACTGATGGCCTGAGACACTACCCCTGGGCAGCTGCTGGTGGAGATGGGATGGAACTTGGGTGGGAAGGGGCTGCAGCTCCATGGAGGTTTGGGCTTTTGTTTTTAGGTGTGAACCCTTGGAGCGCACACCCCTAGAATGGTTCAGAGGGAGCAGGAAGGCAGAGGCAGGGAAAATGTGAAAGGGCTTGAGTCCACTCCAGTGCAGCTCACATATTCTAGGGTGCAGGGAAGCCAGGGGTGAATATAGGCAGCAGAGATGCTGGATGTGAGCTGAGGACACATTCTGTGCTCTCAGTGTAGCAGCTGGTCCTCCTCAGCCTGGGAAGATGTCTGTCTACGTCCTCTGAGAAGCAGGAGGTAGGAGGGTCACCTGCCGAAGAGGTGAGGGAGGCTGCTTTTGGTCCCCATAGCACCTTGTTGGGATAGCCAGGTCTCAGGTCATCCTCAAGTTGAACCTGTCTAGGACTCCAGTTAGTCTTGGAGGGCAGGAAAGGATGCCCCCACCCTGTGGCCCTGGCCTGCACTGGGGCATTTTTGTTGGACAGGGAACATCCTACAGCCACCATAAAAATAAATTACAGATTTCCAGGTTGGGTTCTAAACCACAGACTTTTTTTTTTTTTTTTGGGCAGTACTGGGAATTAAACCCAAGGCCTTCACACTAACCTATATTCCCAACTATCCTCCCCACTTTTTTTCCAAGACAAGGTCTTGCTTGCAATTTTTCTGCCTCAGCCTCCAAGATTGCAGGCATTACAGATAGTACCACCATGCCAAGCTTATGCCATAGACATTTCTCTCTCATAACTTGGGGGCTGGAAACTGTGCCCTAAGTCTAGCAGCTGGTCCTTCCCAGCCTGAGAAGATGTCTGTCCAGCCTCCCTGGGCTTCCGTGTTTGCTAGCAGTTCTTGAAGTTCCCTGTGTCAGAACATCACTGACCTTTGCCTGCATGATCGTGCGGCCTTTTCTCTGCGTGTGTCGGAGGCCAGATTTCCCCTTTTTGTCAGGACCACAGTCATACTGGTGCAGGGCCTTCCCCAATGACCTCATCTCCACTAGCTCCATCTGTGGCAACCCTATTTCCAAATAAGGTCACATTTTAGCTCCTGAGGTCAGGACTTCAGCATATGCATTTTAGAGGACATCATTTAGCCCACAACAGGAGGGATCAGGTTCTGCCCCTTCTTGGGAGTAAGAGGGTAGTGGAGGGAAGAAGGGGTTCTGTTGGGGACCAGGGGCTGGGCTGAAGCTCAGAAGGGATAAAAACTACCATTTGAGGTGGGATTAATAAAATGGGCCATAGTGATTGGCACCTATAATCCCAGCCACTTAGGAGGATGTGGCAGAAGGATCACAAGTTCAATGCCAGCTTAGGAAACTTAGCCAGATCCTATCTCAAAACAAAACAAAACAAAAAAAAAAAAAAACAAAACAAAACAAACAAACAAAAAAAAAGAACGGCTGGGTGTAGCTGGTGGTAGAGCATCCCTGGGTTGAACCCCCAGTACCGCAAACAACAGGACAAAGTGTGTTATCAGGCAGGTCACACTGAGCTTTCAGGTCAAAGAAGTCTTAGTCTGTTTTAAGTCGCTATAAAACAAAAAACAGAAAACCAAAGAAACCTGACTGGGCAAAAAAGGTTTACTTGGCTCATGATTCTAGAGGCTGAGAGGTTCAGAAGCAGGGGCTGGCCTCTGGTGGGGCCTTCTTGTGGCTCTGTGACAGGCAAAGCACATTAGTTCATAGACTTACTTAATCCCCAGCTACCCCATGAATCCATGGATGGGACCTAATCCCCTCTTGAAGGTCCCACACCTCAGCACTGCTGCACTAAGGGCTGAGTTTCTAACACTTTCAGGGGACACATTCAGACCACAGCACAAGGCCATGGATTTACACTCAGGCAGAGCTGACTCCATGGGCCTGAAAGGGCCCCTGCTTGGTTTCAGGCTGTGCCACCTAGGCAGTGAGTGGTGGGACAGAGAAGACATGGACCTCCATCTGTCTCTCCTTTTCTAGCCGTGAGGTTAGAACAACCTCACCACCATAAGCTGGGGGCAGGTCCTGAAAATGTTGGGCCCAGACAGTGACCCACTGGCAAAGTGCATCAGGATGAGGAGGTGCCCGGCCACTGCCCTCCAGGAGCCCAAGGGACCCCTTAGGACAATCTTGGGATAGAGGCAGTCCAGTAGGAGCCGTAGGCTCTGCCATGGCCCATATGTGCTCCTAGCCATGCACCAGGGAGGGATCTTGAGAGCTCTAGGAAAGACGGTATAGAAAATCCCAAAGGAGGAGGCAGCTGGCGCTCCCAGCCAGGCCTGTAGATTCAACTTGGCTCTTCGGGCAACTTGATTGGGCCCGACAAAGTGATCGATGGCTGGGGTTGGGGTGGAGAGCACAGTGCTTCCTCCCTTGGCTTCAAGCAGGGTGAGCCAAGCTGTTACCCCTCAGTGGTGAGTGGGAGGGGATGTGGGCTCACTACCTCCATAGCTAGTAGGTTGCTGGGCCTACTTTAGTGTCTCCCTACCCCAAGGCTCTCTCTGTCCCCCCTGTCCCCAGGGCCCTTTAAGGTCTTTCACTGGGATTCCTCAGGCCACTCGCTGGCAGGGTTTGGCAAGATGGCACTCCCTTCTTTCTCTTTGGCCAAAGATTCTTACCAGAAAAGCCTCTGCTGCCCTTCACCGCTCTAGCTGCCCCAGGAACACCTCAGTCCAGTCCCCCAGATTTTGGAACCTGATCCCCATCTTCCCAGCATCCTGTGCTGACTCTGGAGTCCCCATGAGGACTGTTAGCTATAGTTCATCCCTCCATCCCTGCTGGTGTTCCTAGGAGAGCCGCTGAGTCATTCTATGGATTCTGGAGACATTGGCTAGCTGTGTGGTCAGTTTTGAGAGCCTAGAACATGAAGATGAAGGACAATGGAGTCAACAGGACAGGGGATGGAGCAGGTGATCAAGGCAGCCGTTCAACAGTTTGGAGTAAAGACAGTGCAAAACAGCACCAGACAAGACCTGGGGTACAAAATGTGGAGCATTGTATATACGGGCCCTGATGTCCTTGCGCAGCATGGACTTGTCAGAGGTATTCAGGGCCATGACTGTGGGCACTGACAACAGATTCTGCTGGCTTCCACAGGTGCATGTGGAAGGATGGGCCTCTGTGAAGGCTTCCAGCTAGAGGCTGAAATGCTAATATAGATGCTCTAGGAGCATGGATCAGTTCCCTGTCCTGAGGGAAAACAGGGCTCACGGTGTACTTGAGGGTGTACCGGGACTCCAAGGGTGCATGGAGTGTCTCAGCCTGGCCTTACCCCCACCAGAGCTGTGAAGAGCCTTCTCACCCCACCTCTGCCTTTGACTCCTTTTCTCTCAGCTGGGATGCCTGTAGCTTGCTTAACACTTCCTGAGAGGTGGTTTGGGTTTTGAGTACTTTTTTTTCCTTTCCTCTTGCAGCAACAGATTAAAAAACAACACCCCAAACCAAGCCCCAATGGTTCCAAACCTCAACCTGCAACAGAAGGGGGAAGTGAAACCTGGCTGGGTGGGGGCTCCGGCTGCAGCCGCCCTGCCAAGGAAGCACCAAGAGCCACAGTGCACAGACAGCAACGGCATCAGGCCTAGACGTGAGGCCCATGGCAGAGGCTCCAAATGCCCCAAGCTCCGAGGAGCAGGAGGAGCTGCTGGTGGAGGAAGGCACCGGGTGAGTGTCTGTGGCAGCATCCAGGCTGTACATCTGGTTCTCGGGATGCACAGTTCTATGCAGACTCACCCTAGAGATCAGCTGCCCTTGGTGGGGGTAGACTTGTGGGTCCTCCCAGGGCCCCCTTTTCACCTTGAAGCTGGATATATCTTCTATATGCTTCTGCAGCTTGGACTCGCTATGGGAGCTTGTAGGATCCAATGCATAGGGTAGGTGGAGTGGATGCCCAGTGTGTGTTGGGGGATGGGAAGAACAGTACCTGTGCTGGGAAAAGCATGGCTGGGGAACCTGGGTGTGCCCTAGGAAGGAGGCTGCTCCCCAAATCTGCCCCTACCCTGGAGTGATGGAGGAGTCTGAAGATGAGGCAGAAGCCTGTTCCGAGTGCCAGCGCCATGCTGTGGTTAGGGCAGGGATGGGAGGGGCCATGGGCAGACACTGGGCGTGGACTGCTGAAGAGAAATCTACTGTGTGCTGTGCCTGGAGGACCACCAGCCACAGGAACTCGAGCTGCCAGCCTGCTCAGGAGCAGCTGGGTTTGCAGGGGTTGATGGGCAGCCACCCTACGATGAGGTCAACATACAGGGTGGGCCTAGGTCCTGATGCTTGGGGTCCCTGGATTGTGGGGAGACATTTCAGGAGGCCAAAGGTGCCACTTAGCCCTGGGTATTGGTCTCTGAAGAGCCAGGAGGGAACAGGCAGGGTTTGGGAACAGGTGGTGCTTGGGGTAGGGGTTGGGAGAACCTTCTAACACTTAGGGATGGAAGCCCTTTGGTGGGACCAAAGTGGCAGTGCTCCCAGATATGCTGAAGGGAAGCGCCAGGTGCAGCTCAGACACCCAGAGCCCACAGCTTCAGCCTAGGCCACCTACAGGGGTGGCCTCAGAGTATGCTTTGGGATGCTGTGCTACAGAACCCCACTGAGCAGCCATGGCAGGGACCCTTGGCCTCAGGCTACCTTGCAAAGTAGATCCTAGCCCCAGCAGCTAGGTGGGTTGCAGGTCTTAGCAGAGACATCACAGAGGAAAGGCATCTACATGAATGGAGTGTGTGGAGGGAGGCAGCAGGTTAGCTGCATTTCGGCTATTGCACTGTGAAGCCCATTTGAAAATTTCCTTGGGGGCAGCTAAGGTGACCCTTCAGTACCAGGAAGTGGCGTCAGAGGCTAAGCAGAACCCCTGGATTAGGTCTGAGTGGGTGGTCCATGCTGTCAGGACTCCCCTGCCTCTTTGAGGGAGCTCCCAGGGTAGGGGGATGTGCAACCTGAGAAGCTGAGCAGGGTCAGAGGACACTCTGTCCCAGCTCAGTGCCACAAGGTCACAAGCTACTGGGTGCATAGAACTGGGCAACTGGGTGACAGCTGCATCCCGCTCATAAGTGCCCTCACGTCAGTGCTGTCCCCAGTGCTGGACCTGGCTCTGCCACCTCATGTCCATAGAAGGACAGGGTGTGAGTGTCCTGGCTGGCCCGTCTTCCTCCTTGGCCCTTCCTTGGCGCCGCCCCTCTTCAGCTGTCTCAAATGTCACAGATCCCAGGCAGTGTGGGGATGGCGCTAGAGGCCCAGCAGACCCCCATTGTCTTGGTGTAGATCTGGAGTGGGCCTGCCTGTATTAAGAGCTCTGGCTGGAGAGTCCTTGGGCCTCAAAGAAGCCTGGGAAACCCCCCCGAGAACTTCCCCACCCCATTGCTGCCAAATGTGTACAGAAGGAGAGCATGACACTGACCTTTCAGAATGAAACTGAGACCTGGTGAGGGGTGGGGTTCTCCTTTCATGAGGTGACTAAGGAAGCAGAGATTTTCCAGTCAGGAGAAAGAGAAGTCCCTGACACCCAGGAGGGGGTATATGGCCTGGGAAGCCCCCACCGGGAGTCCCCAGGGAGGCAAGGCTGGGCAGGATCTCCTGGGCTACAGCAGAGTGGGAGGAATGGCCCTGTTCTCTTCACACAGGGGCAGGAAAGCACAGTCTGAAGGGCTCAGGATACACCTGTCCCCTGTCCCACAGGCCCAACACAGCTGGGCTTCTGTCCGGAAGGCCAAGAGCCGTGCTGTCTTCCTCCTTTTGAGCAGGGCAGGTCCCACCCCCTGGCCTGCAGGACTGTGCAACTTGCTGGAGGGGTCACTCTCTCCCTACCCACTGCTCAGCTACTGGGTCATTGGTCTGTCCTTGTCCTATCTACCCCGGGGGTGAGTGTGACATTTCAACAGTGGCTCTGAAGGGGACTCTGGGTGGCACTGAGCTGGCTTTCTGCTCCATGTCTCTAGTCTAATACCAAGAGCAATCTCACCCCACATTTCCCAGATGCTTGAGGAGCCATTGGCCTAGGGACCTAGGGGAGGGATTGTAGTCACCTGGCTAACAGTACCAGGAGAGGGCAGGATACCTTCTGGATCTCAGATTCAACATGTCCAAATCCTGGAACTCCCAACTCCATTAAGGACCCATGCCCCAGCCCAAGGCCCAACTGTTCCAGGCACCCTCCATGTCTGTGGCAGAGGTCCTGTGCCTCCTCCAGCAGCCAGGCTGTCTGCCCTGTGGCTGCCCTTCTGGCTCACTGTGGAAGAACCCAAATACTGTCATCTCCCCTTCTCCCTGTGCTCAGCTAAGGGAAGGGGCAATTCTGCCACTAGACTCTGGACTCCCTTCCTGAGTCATCTGTTCCTCTGAGCTCCAGCCTGTAGGCTTTGGGTGCTTCCACAGTCAGGTAGACCAGGCCAGTCCCTGTGGGCCTCCCTTCCTCCCCTGGGTCAGGATTTTCCTAGAGAGGGGAGGCTGAGCTTAGGTCAGTGATGAGCACTTTCCTTTTTGCTGGGACTGGCAGGTCACCAGCTTTCTCCAGCCTTCCATCTGGACCCTTGGGCCCGGGGGAGGGACCAGATGCCTGGCACACTTGGGAACATCACAGGTCCTGTCTGTGATGATTCTGGGAAACAGAAACCTTCCCTTCCACCTGCCCTCTTTATGGCCCCAGCTGTCTCCTGACAGAACAATGCTGGATCTCACGTAGGCAGTGCCGGAGGGCTCAGGGACAGATGGCCCAGAGCAAGATGCCTGGTCAGATTGGCAGCCTGAGTCTTTCCAGCCTTTCCTCTACTGCCACTGGTGCCTGAGGGAGGAGGGAGCCCCTAGAGAAATGAGGGCTCAGCAGGGGAGGGGGCCGTGGGCAGGTGCCCATGGCCTTTCCCTCTAGGTCCACAAGCTGGTGGGGAGGGTTGGTTATAGAGTGTGATTGTCAGGGGGAAGGGAGGGCAGTTGCCCCCGTGGTGTACATTAGTGTTTCCTGGAACCTTAATTTACCATTTGCAGGATCCCACAGCTACTCAGAGCTAGCACTCACCTGTGAGAGTACTTGCCAAGCTCTCACTTTGTCCCCCAGAGTCCATCTGGTAGCCAGGGATTTCGCAGTTGGACAGATACCCTTGAGGCTTCAAAGGGCCCACTTCGAGTGTGGCTGATGCTTCAGAGGGCATGCACTCTGTGGGCTTAAATTGGGGTGCTGGGGGCCCAAGAATACTGCTTGGGCTGCCCCTTGTGTGTTACCCATAACCCCATAGGGTGCATCCCCTATCCTACACATGGAAGTTGCTAAGTGGCCAGGCCGCTCAGTGAGGCACAGCCAGGCAGAACTCCAAGGTTTCGACACACGCTGGTTCTCTCCCAGGACAGTGCTCTCAGCTTCTTTTCCAATCCAGCCCTTTGCATCGGGAAACCTTCTTTGCAGCAGCACCTAAGGATCTGGGAGATGGGGGTCCAGGGCTACAAGTTGCCCTGGAGGAACAAATCAGGAGTGGGTGAGGTGCCTTCCCAGGGATGCCTGGGAGCGCCTGAGTCTCTTTCCCAACTCTACCACTACCCAGCACCCAAGGACCTGGGTGAGGGACTGTGGGATACAAAGTTTATAAGCAAGTAAAGGATAGAGGCATTTGGACCTCCCAATGCAGTCCAGATCAGGGAAGTTGGGGCTGGAGGTGCAAAGCCCCTGGCCCTTTCTTGGAGCCAGGTTCTTGGAGCCAGGCCAGTCCTGTGCAAGTTCCATCTGCTAGCTACCTCCCAACTTGGCGGAGAAAGGAGACTGTCTGACCCCACTACCTGGTGGGAAAGGGCTGCCTGGGGACCCAGGAGTTGCTCTTTCTCCAGAATGCTCCCTCTAGCCAAACTAGGAAACAACTTGAGCTTCTGTACTACTCAGAGCTAGAACAGGCCAGGCCTAGGAGGGCTGCCTGGGGCCTGCCTCCTGCACCTCACCACATGACTCCTATGAGCCTGGGCTCACTGGTGGCCAAGCTATAGTGGCAGTCACCTCCTCCCTACATGGGAAAGGTGCTCAGTCAGGGTCCAAGAAACTCTGTCAGCCAGGAATCCCGGAGTCCATGCCCTTTCATCTTGCAGAGCCTTGGATCCTCTGGTGTCACACAGAGGAGGACATGAAGCAGGGAATGCCAACTCCAGGCAAGCTGAGCCTCAGACAGTGCTTCTTCCCACCACCAGACTCATCCTTCTTGGATGCAGCCTACTTTTTTGATGGTTAGTTTCTAGGGTAAGCCAAGGGTACATCTTCATCCTCTAAAGAGTAGCGGGACTTGGGACAAGTGGACACGCTAGTTCATTCCAGAGGAACCCAGACAAAAGTTTTTAGCATTTCTCCTAGCCCCAAATCCAAACTCCAAGCTTTATTAGCATCATCACCACCACCTTGCCTATTGTTAGAGGTGCTTACTTGGACAGAGAGACACACTGAACTGAGGTATGCTAGAAGCATTTGGAGGCTTTCTCCTCTGTGGATCAGAGAGGTTTCTCTATCAGAAGCCACCCAGGACTCACCAAGCCCACTGGCCCTGACCTTGGCTGTACCCAGGAGCTCTCACTGTTCTTTACATTTTTCACTGGGACCCTGCTCTGTGAGCAGAGTGTGGAGAATGTGTGAACAAGGCAACAAGTTCTTATTTCTCCAGACCCTGTTTAGTCTCTCCTCCGGTATTTGCCTCCTGGGCCAGAAAATTCTGCTTTATTCTTGGGCCATAAGCTTATGAACCATGTCTTAGTCACAGAGGAAAAAAATAATAAAATAAGACTCAATGACAGAAAAAGTATAAGTGAAAAGGTGGATGAAGAAAGATAGGAGGCAGAAAAAAACTGGACAGATGAAGGGATGAGTGGATGGATGGATGGATGGATGGATGGACTGACATACAAATGGGTAAATGGATGGATTGGAGGATGGGTACTTGGGATGAAAGTATGGATTGGCAAATGAGTAGATGGGTTGACTATAGATAGATAAATGGACAGATTAGTAAAAGAATATCTAGAGAGAGACTTATAGATAAATATGAACAAAGGATAGGTGAACAAGCATAGAAATGGCCATATACAACAAGAGATGAAGGGAAAGTAAATTAACAGAAAAGTCAAATGAATGAATTGGTGTTGGATGAACTGTTCAAGAGATAGATGGGTGAACAACCACCTCTCAGTCAGGAATTTTGTACTCTCTTCCTGGAATATTGTGTCTTGCTGTTCTTTTCTCCTCCTCTTCCTCTTCCTCCTCCTCTTGCTCTTCTCCTCTTCCTCTTCTCTTTCTTCTTCCCTTTCTCCATTCCCCCTTTAAACTCTCTTTTCAAGAAAATGCTCATTTTCCCCACAAGGCTCTCCTTGACTATCATACACAAAGCATTAATCCTGTGTACAACTTACCTCATCCCCTTTCCCTGATTTTTATTTTCTGTAGCACTTATCATCATCTGATGCATTACAGTACATATTTGCTTATTTGTTTGTTCCCTCTAAAATATCAGCATCATAAAAGTACAAACTTTGTTAATGTTGAATCCCCAACACCTTAAAGGTACCTGGAATTCAGAACAAATTTGCTGAATAAATGTTTAGATCAATGGACAAATACATGAATAAGTAAATGGAAGAAAGGTGGGATGAGCAAATGGATGAAAGAAAAAGACAAATGACACTGGCTGAGGCTGATTGTATTTCAGAACTATTTTAAGTATTAACTTTCTCAGATGACTGTGTTCAGAAGTATACACACAGATGTGTGTGCATTAATGTACGAGTGTCTTGCTCGGAGGAAAAATCAGTAGCCAAGTGGATGGTTAGACAAAAAGCAGCACGGAAAAATAAAACTGGGGCAGATGAATGAAAATAAGCACAAAAGACTGCTGGGAGACTGAAGCATGTATTAAAGAAAGCATCATAGCTAGACAAATAAATTGCCGGGTGAAAATAATAGTAGAAATTAACAAGTAATGAGTAGTTATTGTGTTCTGAGTGGATAAATGGCTTGCTGGCTGCCCCAAATGTTTTGTACATATTGACATTTAGTTAAGTGGATGGATGGAGGAATGAATGGATGGATTTTTTTAACTAATGCAGACAGAGATGGATGGACTTGGATGTGTGTGTGTGTGTGTGTGTGTGTGTGTGTGTGTGTGTGTGTGTAAGTTTCAATTGATTGAATGGAGAGCTGTATTAAAGCTTATATAGATCAGTGGATGGAGAGGTATGTGTGGAATTGATAGATCAATAAATGATACATACAAAGACAAGCATAAAGAGAAGACGAATAGAGGCAGGGATGAATGAATGAAGTGGATACATGAAGAAATGGATGGATGAATGGACAAATAATAGTAAAACTGGCATTAAAACTCAACCCCATTCACCATATAAGAACATGTCCTAGTTGTAAAACACTGAATCTTGGCCACTACTTTTAAAGCTATGTTCTTGTCACCTTCTAACTCTCAACAGTTCTGACAGTCAACCATTCTCTCAAATCATTCTAAGGCAGTCTCCTGTCTGTGACAGTATTCTTTCTTGGCCACATTTTATTCCTGGCAATCTGTGACTGTAGACCTAGGTTCCTCTGGGTGACCTAATAATTGTGTGGTCAGTCTGAGACCCAACCCTGCTTTCTCCCTACCTGTGCTCCATCAGACGCTGAGGTCCCTACAGCTCTGTGATGCTGAGGATGGGCAGTGGACACAGCTCTTTCTGCTGTGTACCCGATGTTCCTTGAATGGTGCAGAACGAGGGGAAATGCTGTGAGCTCCCTCCTCAAGACCGGCCTGGGAACCAATACTGTCGTGTTGGGGTGGGGCAGATTTCCTGACCCTGGCAGTCACCACCCACCGCCCACCACCTGAGTCACTGCAGACCTGAGTAATAATGGATCCTTGTGGAATTTTCCAATCCTTGCTCCTACTTTTGCCTTCCCGTGATGACTCATTTTGTGTGCTCAGCCACTCATCTACCCTATCATGACCTTGTCCTTGGTTCACTCAGTATTCTTTAGCTTCCCATGACCGTGATACCCGACCCAGTCACAGGTTATACTAGCTAGGCATGAAAGAGGGTCCATTTCCCTGTGACATGGAGACAGAGCTGCTGGGGACTGGATGGCTGCACACATAGAGATGTACTCTAGCAGTTCCGGTGCCCAGCAGTCAACAGGCCCAGGCCTAGCTCTGAGACATTGGATACCAGTGCTGCTAACTGGGCATTGGTTTTCCTGTCTGATACATGGATGCAGTGATGCCAGTCTCTCAAAAGCTGTCCTAGTGAGTTGTATGAACTACCGGGTGGAAGTGTGCTGGCCTACAGCTGGCCCATTTGACTCCCTTCGAATGTGGGTCCAGTCCCTCCCCTTGTCCAGCCACTAGCCCCTGTGTTCTCGAGTGAGTCACGGTGACTAAGCCCAACCAGAGCAACAATGGGCTGGGCTGCTTTTTCCTTCTCTTGCCTTGGCCAGAACACAGGGCAAGGGGGTGCAGCTGGCGAGGGCACCAGCCAGCCCGGTGCCCATGGCCACTTCTGTGGACCATGAACACCGAAGGGGAGATGTTGTGTGTATGAATCTTGCTTCAGGTCTCTATGTGCAGTTCAGGGGTGATGGGGGTGAGGGGCAACCTCCCCATTTGGGGGCCAGGGAGGATTCCTGATGTGCCCAACCTCCCCTTGGGATGACAGCAAAAGCAGAGGGCTGGGAATAAACAAGCACAAAATGGAGACCTAGAAGAAGGGTGAGGCAGGGATGGGGGAGGGAAGACTGAGAACTAAGGAGACAGGGACAGAGACACAGGATAGGGGTCTGCAGGGGAATGGGAGCAGAGGGTAGACTTGGGAATGAGAGAGGAGGCAGACAGGAGTGCTGGGCTGGACAGAGAAGGCCAGCAGGAAGGCCAGGCCTGGCGGGACTGGGCACTGGAGAGATGGGAGGCAGCCACGTGGTGGGCAGGGGAGGTGCAGGCTGCCAAGGTGGCTGAAGGAGGGAGGGGAAGGGGAAGAGGAGGCGGGAGGGAGGGAAGAGGCAGCCATGCTGCCCACCAGCGGCCACAGAGGTCCAGTGAGTCCCCACGCTGCTGGGCTGGGAGGGTTTTCTCTCTGACATTTTTACTAGTCTCAGAAGGAGGAGGTGGAGGTGGAGGAGACCAAGGGGGGCGGAGAAGGGGGCTGGGGGAACAAAAGGGAAGCAGCTGCAAAGCGTCCTGAGGAAGGAGAGGGGAGTGAGACCCACAGAGGCAGGGCCCAGAGACAGTGGACAGGCTTCAGGGCCGCCAGCTGGGAGCTAGCCCAAGACCCCCACCTCAAGGGCCAAGGGGTCAAGACAGACAGGCAGAAGGTCAAAGAGACAGACAGACACTCGTCAGACACCCAGACAGAGAGAGGAGACAGGGAGGGGACATCAGAGTCAGAGAGACCAGACAGCCAGACACAGAGGGGGGCAAAAACAGAGAGAAGAAGGGCCAGGAAGGGGAGGAAGAGGAAGAGGAGAGGAGAGGAGAGGAGAGGAGAGGAGAGGAGAGGAGAGGAGAGGAGAGGAGAGGAGAGGAGAGGAGGGAAGAGGAGAGGAGAGGAGAGGAGAGGAGAGGAGAGGAGAGGAGGGAAGAGGAGAGGAGGGAAGAGGAGAGGAGAGGAGAAAGAAGGGAAAGGAAAGAAAGAAAGGAGAGCAGAGGAGGCGGGCCGAAGGAGGCAGCACCAGCACCAGCACCAGCAGCACCAGCAGCAGCAGCAACGACACAGGAGCCTTTGAAAGAGGCGGCATCCCCTGGGCTGGGGTCAGGCCAGGTCGCCAGCCACCCAGTTAGTGGCCAGCAGCATGAGTGGCTCCGTGCTCCTGAGGAAGAATTCTAGCAGACGGGGCCTGGAGCAGCTCCTGAGGTAGGTCCCCCACCTGGCCCAAGGTGGATGCCCATGGTGCTGCCATGCACGGGGCACCCCCTGCCCTGGACTGGGCCTGCTGAGCTAGGCCATTGATGTGGGGCCGCCCTGGCCTTGCTCCTGCCGGCCTCAGGCCCCAAGGGTGCCAAGCTGGCGGTGAGCACGTGCACTGGATGGAGCACGAAGCCATCACCTCCCTAGGCCCTGGCAGTGCGTCTTCCTCCTCCTCCTCCTCTCTTTCCTCCTCCTCTTCCTCCTCCCACCTGCATGGCTGTCTCTACTCACAGGCCTTCATGATCCCTGTCACAAAACAGGGCCTCAGGGACGATTGCTGTTGGCCACGGGGGAACCATCAGTCACCTTGCTTTACAGATGATGGCACTGGACTCCCAGCCACCTTGGTGTCCAGGCCTGTGTGGGAGGCACCGCCGCCTGATGAGCACTTGGGCCCTGGAATCCTGGCTTGCTGGCTGCTGACTCTGAGCCAGCACAGAGTTCCCTCTCGGTCTGTTTCTTCCTCTGTAAAGTACAGTGTGGTGGCACCTTCCTGGTAGGGTTGTGGTGAGAGCAGAGATACCAAAGGCCCTGAGGCCCCTCAGAGATGAGACTAGGTGGGCTCAGTGCCACTGCCCCCCACAGTTAATCAGTTTCTCTGAGTCACTTGCATTGCACCTCTTCCTCCTCAATCTTCCAGACGGCAATGCAACCTCCTCCAGGAAGTCTGCCATGGTTCTCCCTGGATGGGAGAGCAATCCTTCTCTGCCATCCTGGTGTACTTTCTTCCTGGCTCTTTCTAGACCATGCATCTTGCAACGTCCCCAGCTCTTCAGCTCTGGTCCTCCTAGGGGTACAGATAGGTGAACCTAGGGGTACAGATAGGGACATGGGGGTCTGCTGAACAGAGCCTGTGTAGCCCGGAGTGCACCAGCTCTTGCTTGCTGGGGCCATGCAGATGTAGGGAGATGGCCTTCTCCAAGTTCTCATGCTGGCACAGTCCTAGCCCAGGACCAGGTAGCCCTGCTGGTAGACTTCCTGCAGTCGCACTTTCCCTGGTCCCATGAATTCCTTCTGCTCCTCAAGGGCTCCAAGACTCTCACTTTCCAACTCCCTGAGTTGTGGGATGTGCCCCTAGTCCCCTGCTCCCAGTCCTCTGGGGAGCTCTGTGGCCTGGGAATTGAGTGGCTGGCACAAGATCCCTGGCTCACCAGTGACACCTAACAAATGGGGCAGCTAAGACCTGGAAGCAAAGAACAAAGCCCCTTGGGTATTGACAGGAGCCACATGCACCTGGATGTGTGTCTACATCCCCATGCCCTGGCCACAAGTATCTGTGAGTGGGGATTTTGGCTGTACCCTGTGCCCTGTGTCAGGCCACTGCCTGGCTGCCGGAGAGCCTGCAGCCACAGCATGGCCATCAACTGGAGTGGAGGCAGACAAGTTGCTGGCCAACAGTGGACAGAGGCAGGAGGAGGTGACCCTTTGAGCATGGGAGAGAGGCAGGGACTACAGCAAGGCCTTGTGAAGACCCAGTGAAGCACATTTGTCTAGAGTGAGCAGTATAAGGGGCTGCTCATGTGCACATACTGCCTCGTACATCCTCAAAGACTCTGATCCTAGGGTGCAGACTCCCACGTACACCAATCATCATGCATGCTACCACTTGGGACAGTGACATCCACTACCCAAGCTCCATCACCATAGTTTGCATCTCTACAGCACAAAAAGATTTCCACTTCCCCAGCTCTCCCAGACAGATGAGAAAACCTTGGCTCTGTCAGGCAGATGAGAAAACCAGGCTCAGAGACATTAAGCAACTGCAACTTGCCCCAGGTCACCCAGTAGGCAGTGGTGAACTGCTTCCTACATCCACCCTTTCTCTCCAGACTTCTCTCCTGGGGACACTGACTTGCTCCCATGGCAAGGTATAGAGATTTGCCCATTCTTTCTGAGACATGCTCCAGAAGGGCCTGCTGTCCACCAGCAGCAGCCAGGTATAGATCAAGTCCAATAGAAGCACACTGAGAAATGGGTGGCCCACTAGAAAAACGTGTCTTCCACTTGCCCACTCTCCTTGCCTAAGTGTGAGCAGAAGCTTAGCATAGAGCACCAGACAGGACTTCTTCCAAGCCAACTGTTCTCAGCGTCTGTGGGCACAGGCTTCCAAGCTCTTCCCCTTCCAGGTATGGGGCATTTGTCTCACCCCTGGTGAGTCAGACCCTATTAGGCACTGCTTAGGCAACCAAGCATAAGGGTGGTCAGGAGACCCCAAGGTGACCTCCTCCTTCCAGAGGTCACCCAGACTTTTGGCCACTCTCCTGGCCTTGTGGCTCCCAAAGAGCTGGTTTGCAAAGGGAGTAAGCTTGCTGAAACACCTTGTACTTGACACCAAGCCAAGAGGCTGCACTGCAGATACTCTGTCTGGCACTTGGCCTCTAGTCCTGTACCCACCCCTCAGCAGAGGCTCACTGGGTGACAGGAGCCTTTGCCTTGCTGGTCTCAGGCACACATCCTACCAGACCCACAGCCTGCATCCATGGCTCTAAAGCCCTCAGGCAAGCATCCACCCTTGAGCACCTAGTCCAGGGGACTCTGGGGACCCCAGTGTGGCCAGCAGGGCAGGGATGAGGCTAGTAGCCTGTTGGGCTGGCCCCTAGGGGTGGGGAAGCTAGGCCTCCAGGATACCGTGTCCAAGGGGGTGTGGCCATCAGGCCCATCCAGGCCCGAGATCCTGGGGGTGGGGCAGCCCCCACCCTGGCAAGGTTGGGCATCTGGTGGGTAGCATGCTACAGGCTCAGGAGTCTGTTGGCCAGAGCCTGTCTGCCCAGAGCCCAGCCGAGCCAGCAGCAGGGGGTACAGGGACCGAGTGGCCCAGCCCCCTGGGCAGGGTGTCAGGGCCAGAGCCCAGAGGACGGAGGTTCCGGCTCCAGTCCCAGCCGGCAGATCAGAGCTGGGCAGTCGGGCAGCAAGCAGCGACCAGGGAACCTTGGGCACCCAGGCACTTGTCTACCCAAAGCCGCATCCAGAGTCCAGAGGAGGCACCTTGAGGGCTGGCATGCCTGGAGGGGCATTGCTCCCAGGGAAATTTCATCAGTCTCAGAATGGCTCAGCAGAGGACCGCGCTGAGGGTTGACTATGGAAGTCTCCAGAGGGCAGGTGGGCATGGGGGCTGCCAGGGATTGGTGGAGGGCTTGGGAGATAGAATCTTCTGTGGCCTGGGTTGGAAGTAGGGAGGAAGGGATGGTGTTCAGCTCTCAGATGGCTGCTGAGTGGAGTCCTTTCCTGGTGGGACCAATGTGTGGGATGCTGCCCAGGGAGGTGACAGTGTGGCTATGAGATCAGCTGATGTCTAAGATAAGTAAGGTGGTTCCCAGGAGCCAGGATATCAGGGGCCGTGGGGCTCTGAGGAGTCCCTCTTAAGGATGTGCTCTACTGGTAGAAAAAGAAAAGAGATGGAAAAGTGAGAAAGAAATGAGAGGGCAAGAAGACCAAGGATGGTAGGGTAAAGGACAGAGAGCCAGTAGGACAGAGGAAGAAGCACGAATCTGGAGGAATGTTAGAAGGGGCAGACCAGGGTGCAAGAGAAAGGGAATGAGAGGGGTCTCTGGTACCATTGTCACTGGGCAGGAAAGTCTCCTGTTGTCTCGCCTTGGCAAATCGAAATCAAGGCCCTAGGAGACTGAGCAGGATGGGTATTGGTGCTAGCTGGCCTGCTTCTGGTCCTTGGGCCAAAAAAAGAGAGGAAGAAAAGGGAACAAGGTTGGTGGAGAATAGTGCAGAGCCCACAAGAAAAGGATGATGGTGGAGGAAAGGAGGAAGGAAAGGAGGGCCCAGGGCAGGAGGAAGCAGGAGAGGAGCAGAGGCCGGTTCTTACTGGATGAGGGTGGGATTGGTGCGCTTGGACTGGGCCACCTGAGTAGGACTCTGCCCTGACTCCCAGGTTGGAAGCTCTTCTGTCCTGGCATAGCTTGGTTCCCTCAATCTTAGTTTTCACGGGCTGAGGGGTCAACCTCATCATGACACTGACCTCCTCGGCCTTCCAGAACCCTTCCCTTCTCATCTGGATCTTGCCCATTATGGGGCTTCGGGGAGCATCCAGGCTGCTGCTTGGTGCCTACTTTGTCCCGTTAACTCTGTCTCTTCTGCTGTAGCACCTGGTCTTGGTCGGGACTCAGGTCAAGGGATTGTCAGAAAAACCCTTAGTTGCTGTGACATCCAGAGACTTGTTATCTCCCATGACACCCTTAGGCTGGCTCTTGGTCCTACATTTGTGCAGAGTAGACAGGCCTAGGGGAGGTAGAAAAGCTCGTCTACTGCTCCAGGGCAGGAGGGGGTCCGCAGTCTAGGGGAACAGGGCTGGGAAGACTCACATTGCTTCTTGGCATGTCAGGATACAGAGGATAGGGCACCCAGAGACCTCACAGGAGGCCAAGGCCCGTCATGGCTCCAAGGGGCAGACACAGTGGAGCTGGAGCAGGCATGTTGAGGTGCCCTAGGGGCAGAGCTGGGAGCAGACACTGGGGGAACTGAGCTGACTGGCAGTATACTTTTTCTCCTCTGGGTCCCACCCCATGAACAGCCAGGCTAGATCGCGTGGGGGATGGGATGTGTCTGGGAAGCATCTGCGGGCACAGCCGTGAGCCGGGCCTTCGGGAAGAGGTGGATCTGGGCACACCGGCCAGAGAGGGAAGAGGAGGGATGGCAGAGCCCAGGCTGGTGCCAGCCACAATCGAGTGCCAGGGAACGTGCCAAGCCTCGCCTTGTGAGCACCGCGAGTGCTCTGCCAGGGCAGGCTGCCACCAGAGCCATCCAGTGTGGAAAGGAGACAAGGCATTGCGACCCTTCACCTCCTCCCCCAGGAGGTCGGCAGGCATGAGCAAGCCTGGAGTTTGCTGAGTCAAGGGTGCTGAGAAGGTCTCCAGGGCTGCCGTGTACTTGGCCCAGCCCCTGCGGCGTTGTGGTCAGTGACACGGAGAGCAGAAAGGCTCACGAATGTAGTATAC